AGTAAATCGTAAAGAAGATCAACTGGGGTTCAAGAAAGAAGTTCTACCTGAGATCTGTTGGCTGAGAGATTGTGGAATAGGAGGGGAAACAGGATGTGTGTATGAGCAGTGCTGTTCAGAACCTTGAAGTGATGATGGAGTGCATGTCAATCACTTACACGAAAAGCTATAACCTATTTTCCTTATCATATTCACACACACACAAAAAAAAGTGGAAACTTCATATTTTTTTGCAATCTCCAAGTTTAACCTTATTATACAGGGACTGTCACACTGAATAAATCAGAACTGTTTAAAACCCTGTAGGCTGTTCACACAACTCAAGGCCACCTGTTCTTGGGTCTGGTGCCTTTCTGTTACTCGCTGTAAACACAGCATTCCTGAGGTCAGTAACTGTAAGGCTTGGTGGAATGGCTACCCTCAGCTACATGCAGCTGCAGTCAGATTATATTACTGCTCACACAGTGGCCTTGCAGGCCCTCAATGAATAAATGTTCTCTGCAGATAACAGCTCTACATTCAGGGACACTGCATTTATAAGGCAGACACTTACTCCACACTTACTTTTATGTATGAATATATAATCAAGGGAGAAAGGAGAACACTGAAGCAGTTTAAAAGCTACAGTAAGAGAATATGTGCCAGAGGCAGAAGCAAAGCAGCCTTTCCATCCAGGCTTCTGAAGGCTTCATTGTAAACTTAAAACCTAGGAGAGGGAGCATGTCTGTTAAATGCCTGCCCACAAATACAGCAGAAACCATTTAGTTCTTAACAAGTTAATTCCTAGCACTGACATTAACTCTGCAGAAAAGATATAGTATTAGGCTATGTTTTCACTGAAGAGCTGGCACAACAGAGCGGTCATACCACTAATTACACCTCCAGCAGAACAGGACAATTTCCTGAAGTGCAATGAATTAAAGTTAAGAAAAAAATCAGTTTTAAAGAAAGGGTTCTTAAATGTAATTCTACTCAGATCTGAGTTCAGTTAAAACCTAGCATACAACCTGGAGTAAAACAATAACAGCAACAACAACAACAAAATACAAGAATCAACCTGCACTAACTTTTTTGTTTGCAGAATGTGCAATTTCACTTGTTGGTGCTAGCTGGTACAGGATAAACAGAATATAGACTCCACCAATTCTTTGTGCTGCTCTTCAAGACATGAAGCATCATCTAGAAAATCCTGGTGACATGTGAAAATCCTTTCTTGCTTTCTAGATGAGCAGCTGAGCTCACATGTCACCTTTCCAGCTGAAGAGTTTAGCATCTGGGGGATCTAAAGTGAATAGATCTAAAGATCTATTAGTAAAATAGTTATGAGATGCAAAGTTTGGTTAATTTGGAAGGAAGAACAGGCAGTACCTTTGAATCTAGACTGAGAATTCCATGGTAAAATGTTAGATTAAGTACTGTTGGCATATGCTCTGTTAGCATCCTTATTGCCTTGCCAAAATATCTAACCAATCTTTATTCTTGTTCTGTCTGATCTGGTATGAGTGTTGTGTCCCAGTGCATATGTTACAAGCTTCACTGGCACTGTAAAGCTGGCAAGTGGATCCAGTCAGATTTACAAGCACTATCTTTCTAACTCCAGAGCATCTGTATACTGTGGGCAGACTGTTCAAAGAACACGTAAACTACTTATGCATCCAAATGGGAAGTAATATCCATGCCAGTTTAGCATGTGTTTTGTGAAATGCAAATTAAAATAAAAGGTTGAAGTAGGCTTTTTGGTTCTGAAGCATCATGGTGAATGCAATATCTGAAAGCGACCTCTGTCATCAGATGTAATCATTGCCTTTATAGCAATTATTGTATCTAGTCCTGAAGGATGTATAGAGCTCCATCTTCCTAGGAAGGCTGTTCTAGATCCTTGCTACTCTGCTCATTCTCTGTTTTGCCTTTTAATCACTAGGAAATTTTTACTTATTGCTGGTGCAATTCTTATTAGTGAAATTATCAGAGAAAATCGAACCCCTTGAAAAACAACTAACTACCTTCCTTCAGCCTACTACTGTTCTTTCTTCGCTACTCATTACTATCTCCCCTGGATAGGTCATTTTATTCCCCTTTTTATTAGAGGCTGGCTTCTTCAACTTCACTGACAATTTTCCATTTAACTTAGTATCCAGTGCTTCACATATTAACACATTTAAGGTCGGATGTGTTGAGTTTATCCAGAAAATGTGTTATCAGACCACTCTCACACAATCTACTTTTGGACATTTTTTGGTCATATTCATTTTTTTTTCTTACCATATGCAGACAAAATAACAAGTTTGTACTTGCTTGATTTATGTTTAATGTCTACTGAAAGTATTATTACTACTTTTTTCCATTCTTCAGTTGTATTGTAGCACTTCTTACTGAAATGACTTATTAAAAATGCGCACTGTTGAACATGTAAGCTTGTATGATTATTCTACCAAAATTGGTGGAGATGTCTATACCCATTTTCTTTGTATTGCCCTCATATTTTGATCTCCTAGTTTTTTCCTAGTTTTGTTCTGAAAAACAACAAATTCTTCATTGTACCAAAATCATCCTGCCAAAGCTTGTATGTTTGCATTCTTTTCCTACTCTATGAAACCCCCTGTATATTCGTTCTCTTTTCACTTGTATTGCTGAAGAACCTTTTATTTATTTATTTATTTATTTATTTATTTATTTTCAAATCCTCTCTTGTCTCTGCATACACCTTTTGATCCCTTAAATGAGTATTTTTTTACAAACCAGTCTTCCCTTCTGAATATGCTTTCTACTTTTTCTGAAATGCCCTTCTTGAAAGTAATCAGTCTACTAGCAGAGCACTAGTCTGGAAGTTTTTTTTTACGCCAATGTCATTTGGTATATAAATTCTAGACTGTTTCTCATCCATGGACTGGAAGGAATTTAAACCTTCCTTTGCGTGCAAGTACTGAAGACCTGTCTGGTTGTTAAACCCGAACAATTCCTTCATTTTGTCAATGTTTATCCAATCTTTTCCTTTTAAAAAAGAATAAATATTTTATAAAAAATTACTTTGTCTTTCTATGCATTTCTTTCCTTTGTGAATATAACATGAATAAACTCTGCCATTCAACCCAAGATCATTTTCCATGGCTGGCTCTTCCATGACAGCCTTGCTGCTTACCAGTGCCAACTCTCAAAACACATCCTCCTGCTTCATGGACATTTTAACCATCAAAATTAAGGAATCTTTAATAAGTGATTATTTTTGTTCTGAACAATTTGTCACTGGAATTCATTGACTGACATGTGGCTCTGCAGTGGGCTCTAATATTGAGGGGAACCATGAAATGAGAGGAGTGACTCAGACATTAGATTCAGGAACTCCTTTATTGCCTAGGCCATTTGTTGATGTTTTTTATTTCTAACAGTGTACTACAGATTAAGCTTTTTTTTTTTTTTTTTTTTTTTTTTTTGTCAGAGAGACAATGCATGAATCTGTGTTTTCTTTCTATTGGTATTAATTTAAAAGCTTAAAAATTAGTGTTTTGAGAGATCTAAAACCATTTCAGCTTCTTAACACTCAGAATGGATTTTTCCCCTCTTTGTAGGAGCCATAAGTTTAATAAAAGTTCATTAATTTATTTTTTATTATGATATGTGCTTTGGTTGGCTAAAATGTTTCTAAAATACTGTTGAATATCTTAAATTGAGAAAAGCAGCTTGTTAGTTATAAATTGATAAATGGTTCAAAATAGTGATTTAAAATATTAATAAAAACATTTTACTGCATTTGTTTGCAAATTTTTATGAAAAAATCATGTCTACAAAATTTTAATCAATTTAGTTCATATACTTGCACACATGAGTTTGTTTTTATAGCCCTGAATTCTTGTAATAAACACAGTGTAAAGAAACACCAAATATTTCCTCAGAGGTCATTTTAAATTAAAAATAAAAATAAAATAAGCATGGGTCATCTCAGAGAATCTCAGTCAGGCAAATTTTAAATACCATTCACTTCAGTGAAGTGTAACTTCACTAGCTGGCAGTCATTAATACATTATCTATCTACTCTTCTCTCTATTTATTATCCAAGATGCATAGGTAAAATGTTACGCATTAATTTTATCATACAGAATCACAGCACAATTTGGGTTGGAAAAGACCCTAAAGATCATATAATTCCAACCCCCTGCCAATGGCAGCAACACCTTTATGACAATTAATACTTTTTTTTTTTTCTTTTTTTTTTTTAACTAGCCTCTACAAAAGGCCTCTATAACTGCATGTAAAGACTACCGAAGTCTGATTCTTCACTGCTTTCTTTGGTGAATCTGTTCAAAACAAGTGTAAAGTGTGACATAATGTCATTTATTATTCCCTTTGCTCTTTTTGCCCAGTTGATATTCAGAGATGTAAGGGTTTGGATAATTCGGGTTGTAGGAGATGGGCATGATTTTTAAAAGTATCTTTTCCTCTGAAAGGAATGAAGATAAGGGACAGCCTGTAAGTTAAAAAACAAAAGACTTCTTTAGAGAGCTTGGTGGCTGATAACTGCCAAATAACACCACATATATCCCATATCTATTTTTGGCAATCGGTTGTAACTAGTTCTACAAAGTAAAATGAAAATGGGAAGTTAAAAACAAACAAAACCAAAAACAAACAAAGAAAAAAACACCTCATAAAACATCAGATAATCTTCTGCTTGAAGGAAAGATCTATTAATGTGAGCATCAGCCACACTTTCTCCCTGTTCTTTTCATCTGGAAGTATCCCAGCCAGTGTTGGGCTAAATGTGATCCAACTACCTTTTTCAGCCCTCCTCCCATTCCGTCATGACCTTGCCAGTTGTGCAGTACTGTAGTTGAAGGTAATCAGTTTAGTACATGAATAAGATTTGATTACTTTTGTTTTACATAGGCTATAAACCTGTCCAATCTGTTTTAAAAATCCTTTCAGTGTTCAATTCGCTTAGCTTTCACTGAATTGAATTCCCTGCCTGAAATATATTAAGCAACTGGAGTTAGAGCAGGGGAGTCTTTTTTTTTTTTTTTTTTTTTTTTTTTTTTTTTTTTTAATGTAAAACTCTCTTACTTCCTTGGAATAATTCTTTACTAGAAATATAGAGATTTGGTACACAGTGTATTGTTTCTTCTCAGCACTGTCCCTGAGATTTTTAATCACCTATCAAGCTAATATTACTCCACTGGACTTTGTAAGACTTTACCCTTCTTTGCAGCTTGGTCATGGTGTCTTCCTGGCTGGCTCTGGTGAACATGTTACAAGCATCAGCTGTTAGTTTGGCAGCCAGTTCAGTTCAAGGGGATGGTAACTGTAGGGCAATGCATAACTAATAAAATGAGCTAAAAGCATCGGGGGGGTCTCTAAGCAAGAGCCTGAAAAAAAGGCAGCCTCTAAATATACTCTAAAATGTTTCTAGCAGTCAGGATGTGCAGTGAAAGCTGTCTTCCTTCAGAAGTTTACATAATCATTTAATTTAATCCTTCCTGTGGTGTTTCCCTGTGACTGCTTTAGTTCTTTGATCATAATACGCTAGGACAAATGTCAGGAAATATGAGTCTACAACGTGATGTAAATCTTGTTTCCTATCGGAGATGTGACTATGAGCATTATCTTCATGATATTTTCTTTCCCATGTATTTATTTCTGCTCTTTTTTTTGTTTGTTTTGTTTTGTTTTGTTTTTCCAGTTCTATGATGACAGAGAATAGCAATGACTTTCAAGCTAAAAAATTGAGTTATCTTGTATTCCATCCCTGCATTAAGAGAGAACTTTAACTTGCATTTCAAGGTGAGGAAATGCCTTATTAACCTGGATATTATCTCTAAGATATGTTAACAGTGTGATAGATGATAACAGATTTGTAATCAGCCAGGTCTTTTGACTTTTACATTGTTTTGCACTTTCTTCAGCTCCATCATCAGTGTATGTGATGAGACCTACATATATGTTTCTGACTAACAGCAGTCAAGTATCATCATACAAATGTTGTCATTTCTTTTCTTGCTCTTCAGTAGATTTATAGCTTTATGGACTATTCTGAACTAGATGGAATGAAAAAAGAATATCTTGAAAATGATAGATATATGCCAATAAGTACACAGAAATTAGCATTAAAAAAAAAAAAGAGGGGGGCATGAAGACTTCTTTGGCTCTTTTGAACTTTGAATTAAAAAATATGAGAGAAAGAAACTAAAAATCTTTCTATCCCTGTGGTAGAATATGTTTTATATGCATTTTTGTAATTACATAGTGTGGTACTGTGAAGGGAAAATAGGGGGGGGATGTAAAAATAGAGAACCAAAGAGGAAAATATTTTGTTATTGTTAGTAGTTTGGTGTCTGTTCAGTAAGAACTTTTGTCAGTGAATTCCTAGCTTTCTTTTAATTAATGTTGCATTACTTTTTTTTCATAGCAGCATCTATTTAAGATATTGTTAATAACAACATCTATTTAAGACATTAAGTCTCTAACATTAATTTAATGGAAGCTTTCCAATGGCATCTATTATATGTTCCCAGTTAAATTAGCATGATATTCTTTTAATGGATGTTTTAATAGACATTATTAAACAAAATATTATAAAATTAAAACTGAACTCAGTGGGTTCTTTGAGTTCCTATTATAATGTTCTGTGAAGTCATTGATTCTGAAAAATAATAGCCTATATATTTTTAATTTAATTCAGTGGTAGTTGGCAAGAGCAAAAACATGAACATGCATTTATATGGCAGTAGTAAAGGTAAACATTTACTGAACTAGGATGCAGCTGATTTTAAAACTATCTTCCATTTTGATTCTGTGGGTAAAACTTTTTCAGAAGAGGTTTATAAACATTTGTGTACCAACAGCAATGATCATACTTTTTCCTCCCTGCTGATGTGTATGATGTGTTGAATTCTTGTTGCAATCAGCTCTGAAAATAATTGAGAGCCCATTTCTTCAGAGGAAGAAGCATTCTTTTTACAAGCTATTTCCCATATTTTTTCAAAAAAAAACTCATTTTCTCTTGTTAGTTTGTGAAACTACACAGTGGGAGTGCATAGTAAGTCTCAATTCCAGCTGGGCTGCTTCTACACCAGATTCAAACTGAGAAGTATTGCAAAACTCAATAGACTGCAGATCTGCCTAGTAAGCTCTTATTTTGCTCAGCACACATTTAGTACACAGGCAGCAGAATTTGAACTTTCTCCTTATTGATTTTCTGTTTGTGAGTCACATTCCTGAAAGTATATATCTTACCCATGGAAAATGTTATTGTTTTCATCAATGAAGAGGGCTGTTGGTTATCATCTTCTTATTTCAGCAACAATTATGATTAATTCCCATTTTTTCTTCTGATCGTCCTCATTTTGTTGCAGATATGTGGGAGAGAAGACACCTAGCATACACTTAAAAAAAAATAAATAAAAAATGAAAGCGTCTTGTATAACCAGTTAGTTGGCATTTTGAACATGTCATAATTGCTTTCATTTGGGTGGAACTTTTTCTGGAATTCTCAGAATTTCTGAGTTTTCTATATAACCAACTCTCCATGAAGTATTGTATAACATCTCAGGGTTAGCTGAAAACTTTTAACTAAATGAATTAAATCACCACTATTTTCCCTGAAATCCTAATGGTCTTATTTGCATACAAATCTGTCATTTCACAGGACAAATCTGGCAGACTTAATATGAATTTCCCATTGGATTTGTTTGTGAGTGTGAATCCAGCCTTCACTGAAGAAGGACTAACAATCTTTTTCACATCTCTCAGAAAGCCTTGTCAAAAAGTGCAAATGAAAATCTCTACTTTTCACATAGCCCTCTTGCTGCCTGCCTATATCCATCTGGCAATTTCTGATAAGGTCATGCCCATATGCTGACTCCAGGTGAACAAATGCTGTTTTAAGGTTCATCTGTGTGCTTTAGAAAATATGTGCAATAAGTAAACAAGCAACAATCTAATTAAGTTATAGCCTGGAAGTGGCAAAGTAAACATGTAAATTGAGAAGACAAAGGGTTTGTTGTGCTTTTCAAAAAGTCAACCTTTTAAAGGTATGTCTTAAACTCATGTGCCTAAAATAAGTCTTTGATAAGTGGGAGGAACATTTTTCCCATAAGAGTGAACTTTACACTGCAATCTCTAATGTTGAGCAGAAAAGCATTTGTTAAAAGAACCTGCCGTGAGGTTCTTTCAAGAAAAGAAGACACTTTTATTTATAATCTCCGGAATTCCCAAAATGCAATGGGATACAAACATACTTGAAAGCGGACTTTATAATAATATGAGAAAAAGATGCGAATGCCTGCTGTGCTGAGCTGGTTTGATTATACCATAAAGCCCTTTAAAAACTGAGTTTAACATCTCTTTGGGGAGAAAAAGGCAAGTGAAAATAGGCCTTCATAATAGGCCTCTATGAGACAGGAAGAAGCTGGTTGCCACACATGCTACTTTGCCTGTGCTTTTTATTTTACTTTGGATGAAAATAGCTCTTGTAAATCCAGAGAGAGAATGAAATAAACACAGAGTTCAATATTTCAAATAAGATGACAAATTTCTAAATTTCCATTTACCAAGAAAAAAAAAAAAAAAAAACCTGCTCCAGGCTAATTCTGTTTCCCATCTTATGTGGGGGCAAGTCCCCCATCTTCCTTCTCTCCTCCACTTTCCAGTCTTGGACCCAGGAACTAAGGATAGGTGTCAAGGGAGTCTGGGGAACCTGCATCTCTCCAGTTCCCTCTCCATGTTTCTAAGCTCCATCTGTGGGACCTGACAGAACATCTCTGCAGTGCTATCGTCAGTGGCAACCCAGATCTTCACAGAAATGCCAGCTGGCATACAGAAATACTGTTTAGCAAAGCTTTTGATGTTATTAGTTTACTAGGAAGGAGTGGGTCTATCGAAACTGAGAGACTGTTCTTAGAATTGCCACATGGCTTAGGAGAGTCAGGAGAATGTGGGGGACCAGGTACAAGTGTCTCCTCTGCATGAAGCATGAAGCTGAAGCCTTCTTATTCAGGAATTATTTAAATGAAAAACATTTGATGGATTGAAGATGTTGACTTACTGGCTTACCAAGCAAGACACTTTCCTGAAATGCAAATGACCCCGATCCAATTTTCAGTTCCAATTCTGGTTCCAATTTGGATGGAACAGGGACATGAACTCAATTCCCACGTGAGTGCCACTAACTTAAAGCTTTGTAGCTAGAAGAGCTCCCAGGATTTTTTAATTTTAATTTTGTTCCAAATCCCCATAATTGCTTTCAGCTGTAGTTTCATTGAAACAAATATATTCCTATAGAATGTGATTTAAAACAGATTGGCATTTTCTGCCAACATAACTGAATCAAGAATATTTTGGGGAGCTACACTAAAGAAAGATTATTTAAAAGAAGACAAATGGGAAGGGCAAAAAAAAATGGCAGGCAATCAGATAAAAAGGTAGATAAGCCAAAATAAAGTCCTATTTGGAAGGGAAACAAAAACTTGCCTTCCATTTTAAAAATATCTCCAAAGCTTTCCTGGTTGGATGTCTGTCCTGCAGGCCAAAAGACTTACTGCTAACCAGTGAGAATCAGGTCAGAGTTGGAGCCTTTTATTAATTCACCAAGTTAACAAAGTCAGTTTTGAATCCTGAAAGCTGTACCTATAGCCAGAAAACCATCTCTAGAGCTCAATTTATAGTCAAGACCCTTGATACTTATTGTAGCCAGCAAGGCTTTCTTTTCTGACTTTTTCCTCACCTTTTTCTCTTTATAGTTTCTAAAATAAAGTTTACTTATGTAAGTGCCCTTTTCCTTTATATACTGCCCATAGGCAGAACAGGATTCTTTTTTATTACACTGGCATACTTTTGTCCAGAAGTTTCAAAATCATTCATCAAGGAGACAAGTGTCCTGCTTTGTTCCTTTGAGCAGATGTGTTGATGCATTTATTTTTCTCAGAAAAACTGACATATTTTTTTGAGAAAATCACCTAATTTGAGAGAAGAAATCTGCATTCTAGTAGTCTCGGAGCTAAAGAGATTAAATCTGTTAATCATTATGTAATACAATTTATTTAGAGTGAAGGATGACTACCAAAATGTACTTTCTTTCATCATTCCTTCTTTATTTGTCCACAAAATATCTAAGTGTCCAAGCTTGCCTGTATTCCAGCTCTGAAATCTCATGGGTTAGATGTCAAACTGGCTTCTTGTGAAACCTGCAGGATTGCCGCCATGCCCTGGTTCAACTGTAAATAGCACCGTGATCTATGCCACTACTGTAGGACACATTTGAAGTGTATCACTCATTGTATCACTCAGAAACTGGGTAGCATCCAATCTAACTCAGACAACTTGTGACAAAGTGAAATGATTGCACAGGAAATACAAAGGCCAAGATATTAAGAACCATTATGGATATGTGCATACCTAAGGATTTGAAAATGTCTATATTCTTAGCAATTGTTTTTTACAGATTCTGCATAGACTCCTTAGAAGTGTATGAATTCTAGACCGAATTAATATGATATTAACCTGAATAACAGGTTAACAGGAATAAGAATAGGCCATTAAATGAGTAAGGAAAACCTTAAGCCAAGAAAAGCTCTGAAGTTCTAGAAGTCCAGAAAGCAGATTACAGGAAATGTATAGAAGTAAATCTTACGTGAGCAGGTATATAGCTTGACACAAACATTCAAATGGGCTTTCTGGTGTGCAATATAGAGTTAATTACTTTATCTTCTCCATTAAAACAATCACATGTATTCAGCATAAGCCAGAATGTGTGTCATGTTCACACCAAACTAATGAAGTGCACAAAGAAGCTGCTGCACCTAAGCAAATCCAGTGCAGTTAGGTAGATGATGATGATGATACAGAGGATAAGGCACTCCCTGGGAAGGCCTCTTGGGAAATTTCCAGAATATGCAAAGTCATCCTGAAGATTATCAGATGAAATCCTCTTTCTTGGTTTTAGACAGGGATTCTGTTGAAGCCAAGGTACCTGTCCTATACTATTGGTTTTACCTGGATTTTACTGTTCAAGGCAGATGCTACTACTGCTACTACTTTCTACTAATCTCCTGTTTTGTTTAGAAGCTGTTGAAGCTTTTAATAAGGATGTTAGAATAACGGCTGTTCAGTGTTTACCTTAAAATAATGAATATGAGTGCAGAAAAATGTATTATGTGTCTTTGGAACAGACATGTAAGGTCAAATGATTTTTTTGCTCATCCCTTTCTTTCTAATAAAGATTTGTTAAGAGTTTAGTACATGTAAATTTCTGTGTATTGGCATTGCAACTGGATTGCAGAGGATTTGACAATCTTTAGTATTAACAACTGAGACTATTCAAACAAAAGATATCAAATCCTAAATCCCAAAAGAGTATCTTGAAGATGAAATTTATAAAAAATATAAATAAATAAAGGATCATATTTGCTCATGTGTTATCTGATACCTGGGTGTTGTTTTTCAGGCTTTACTGTGTAATGTTTTTAAGCTAGCCACAAATGTAAAACAAGTACAAAATAAATCTGAAATGTTCATGAAATCTTGAGGCTCAGAGTGGAGCTGTAGGAAGAGTGCTGAATGTCAAGAGACACTGAGTTGACTGAAGTAAAATTTTGATTTCCACTTGATGTTTTTATTATGGGTAAATTACAACACCAATTTACACCATTTTTAAGAACTATGCATTTGAAATATGGTAAAAAAGATGTGGTATATTAATTTTAATTTGGAATGCAGTTTAAACTGCATGAGTCATTTCATATTGCATCATTCCACACAACTTGTTTTCAAAACAACTTATTTTCTGAAATGATATGTATGTTTTGGGAAACAGTCACTACTAAACTGGCTTGCAAATTTTGACTGCAAAAAAGAGAACATCTGAATTCTGCAAATAAATATTCAATTTCCTAAATCTCATCTAAATTTCATTGATTCTACCATTTCTTCTTCTAATTTGAAAAAGAAAGATGTGCTTTAAAAGATAAGCAGACTGACTTTCAAACTACAAGCTATATATGATTTAAAAATAAAAACGGCAGAAGAGAAGACTGAAATCATGGTGGGAACAGAGATAAAGGGTTATGCAGAATAAACATCAGAAACATATAGATGCCAATGCAAAACAGTTATGCTAAACATGTTCTAGTGATATAACATGACTGACATTTTAATAACAAAACATCTGAGTGTTAGTGCATAAGCAGGATGTTATATGGTTCTAGCCCAACCTAGCAGCTCCTGACAGCTGCTGAGAGAGGCTTCATGCAAATCAGTTTTTAAAACTGAATCTTTTCTGATTGGTATTCATGTTATATCCATTACAACAGATACTGCTTGAGGCAGGCACAGCCCTGATGTGAATGTGATTTCTGAGCCTCTTACCCAATACATTGGGTAATGGAGTGGGATCAGGCTTGCTCTTCCAAGCCCAGAAGCAGCCCTGGAGCCCTACCTATAACCCATGATCCCAACCTCAACAAAACAGTTCCTGACTAGATGCTGTAGCACAGATGGCTACAGCACGGAAACTTGAATCTAGTGTCTTTAGTGTCCTCTTCCACATCCCTACCATCTTGCATTTCCAGTGAAGTGTCACTGGTAATCTATTTTCAGATCAACTGTCTTTCTTAAATTATTCAGAGACAGCATCAACAAAAGCACTGCGGATCTCAATTCTTAGGTAAATTTGAACCTTTGTAATAGTGTGGCTTTGTGTCCCACTGCATGATGACCTTTCTCTAACCATGTCTTTGTGTTTGGAACACAGGTTCTAGCTCTTAGTTTTAACGGCAAACTGGTTCTGCCAAGAAAACAGACAACCTGAATACTTGAGAAGTGAAAACAAGGTAAGCATTTTTAGAAACTTAGAGCTTTTTTTCTTCCTTAAGCAGTGTTTTTGTGCTTATTATTTGAACTTCTTTGGACTTGAAGAAAGAGTGGTAAATTGACTTTAAAGCAAACTATAATAACACAAACATAACATTTCTTCTATTTTTAATATAAACATTGTTTTAAAGCTGAATTATGCATCAACAGGAAACTGTGAAGGAAATACCAAATAAATAAATAAATATATGAAGCCAATTTCTGGAAAGGAATCTGTGATTCAGCAACTTCTGAGTAGGCATCTACGTCAACATTAAATCAGGTTGCTAGTTCAGCATGTTCAAGCGAAGAGACAATATTCTTGGGGTCAATGTGATCAAGATAATATGTAAAGAAACAGAAGCCAATTAAGGCATTTAACTAAAAGTGATGAATCTGAGAAGTTAGGATAGTCAAAGATCAAACTAGTTTCACAGTCATAAATTCATTCTAATTGGAAAAGTACAGAGTCTATCAAACCAGCTGAGGGTCCATTAAGATGCCCAAATGGAAAACAATAAGGTATGTTCCAAAACTGTCAGTCATCTTGTAAGCAATAGATTTTTGGGGAGTTTAGTAATGGAAAATTTAGGCTAAATAATGCAAGCTGAGTGAGTCATATACAGGAAGTCTAGCTCAAATGCTACTTAAATATTACATGCAGTGTTACAGAAGGAGAAATGGAGGAAGAACTTCAGAAAACTTGTAGCAAAATGATGATGTTAAATACAAACAAGGCATGGAAATGAAATGATAATACAAAGTACTCTCTCAGCCAAATGCATCTCACACTATGAAGAACAAAGGCCAGAAAATACTTGAAGTATAAAGATACCTTCATTTACATGATAGTACCCACATCTACATAACAATTAAAAACAGACAGGGGATCAATTATGAAGAATTGAAAAGAGAACTGGTTATAAGCAGTCTCAGACTTCTGATTATCTGGGCTCTTTCACAAAGAGCTCAATTTTATAAATTCTAAATCACAAAGGTCCCAGATTTCTGACATATCTGCAAAGAGATCTTGGTACACCATTATCAGGACAGTCGCATGTCAGTGCAATTTATTACATGATTCAAATCAGAATATACTTCTGGAAAATTTCCCAGAAGTCTACAGTAGAGGATTCTGACTCTCCTACTTTAGGACTATAACATTATACAGTGCATTAGAGGCTGAAGGCACAGAGCAACACAAAAGTTTAATTACTGTTCCTGTGTGGAACATTATAAATATTATGGCAGAGATATAGAAGTCAAGATAAGAAACCAAAACGGAAAAAAATACTGATGAGAAAATCACCTTAGAAATAACATCCTGAGGCAGAGGATATTGATGATGAATAGTAATAATATCCAAACTCACGTAGAGCTGATGGCTCCAGCAAGAGCTGCAGAGATTTCGTTTTTGATGATATTAGTCACTTTTCTGTGGCTTATTAAGGGAATTCTAATTCAGTCAACCCTTCAACTCTGTCTCAGGTGATATGATCTGAAGACAAAGATTACTCTGTTATACTTCCTTTCATGGAAGAATGCATTAAAAATAAATAAATAAATAAATAAAATAAAATAAAAATATACATAACTTTCTGGGAGAAATAGGAACTATAAAAGGAACTGTTACTGAAATTATATTAAAAATATAGTTCTAGAAAGTGAAAGACTGTTGCATATTTTAAGGTTGCTTCAGGGTATTCCAGCAATCCCTTGATGTTAAAAAGAATAATATTGGAAAGAGCCTTTTTCATCTTCTTCCAGACAGCACAAAAGCCCTTCCAATTCCAAAACAATCTTCAAATTCACAGTATGTTCTCATGCCATTAGAAGTGTCTGTTCATTGCTATACTGGCTTTACTACTGCTACACTAGTTTACTACTTTGTTTACCTTAGTGTATTTATTTTACTTTATAGACAAATTTATTTTTACTAAATATACTATTTTTATTTTGCTTCTATATTAATTTAGTATTTTATTTTTTACTACTGCTCTACTAGCTTAACTGCCACAATACTAGCTTTACTACTGCTGTAGTAGAGGTAAGCATACTAGAAAGAATAATACTTCATTGTAAAAAATATAGGTACCATCCTTCCATCTCAGTATGAATTTGTGCATGACAGCTTGGAAAGGACGTTTCCAATGTATGATGAGAATGTAGACAGAAAAAGCAAGGAAGAAGAGATGCTGTGATATCTACTCCAAGGTTGGATTATTTGAATGAACGTGTAAAGCAAGAGTATAAATATAGATCCATAACAAGTTATCCATCTATATATGCTTTTGCAGAGGTGATTCATGGACTAATTCTGTACTACTGTTGCAGAGGAGGACTATGAAGATGACTAGAGGACTGGAGCACCTGTCATACAAAGACAGGCTGAGAGAGCTGGGCCCGTTTAGCCTAGAAAAGAGAAGACTGAGGGGAGACCTCATCAGTGTGTATAAATATCTGAGGAGATAGTGTCAAGAGGATGGAGCCATTCTCTTTTCAGTTATGCCCAGTGACAGTACAAGAAACAATGGACACAAACTGAAGCACAGAGGGTTCTGGCTGAATATAAGGTGGGCACCTCTTTACTGTGAGTGTGAAACAGCACTGGAACAGGTTGCCCTTCCACAGAAGCTGTGGAGTCTCCTTCTCTGGAGATATTCAAAACCTGCCTGGATGCTATCCTGCACAATGTGTTCTAGGTGATCCTGCTTGGAAGGGGGTTTGGACTAGATGATCTTCAGAGGTCTCTTCCAACCTTGGCCATTCTGTGATTCTTCACATTTAATCAACCCTGGACGGTTGGTACTGTTTTCCAGGGTTGCTCTGCTGACAGCAGCAGAAGACTGTCCAACTCCAAACAAAGGTGAATCTATTGCCATTGTGGCTTCTGTAATCTATTTCAGCTCAGCCTGCAGAGTAGAGAGTGTCACAGTAAACAAGACATTAGATTGTAATTAAACTGGTAATTAAACTGTAAATAACTTCAGCAAATAACCTTTTTTTTACTCAAAGAAAACTGCCAAGGTTTTTTTAGAAGTGACTGCAAGAAAAATCAAAACAAGTTCTGTTTAAATTCAAGTACAAGGGAAGGCAAGCTAATATAAATCTTTTCAAAAAAGTCAAACATGGACATTTTTATGTACCCCTGTAACAAAAAAAAAAAAGGCATGACCATTTTCCTTTAAAAAATCAGTCCGGTCAGAAGTAAAGCTTAATAACATTATAACATTCAAAAGGAAAGCAAAAGTGAAGAGTTAGTTAAAAACAAATAAACAAACAAACACCTTAGCATTGAACAGGCCTTTTGTTAATTTCAGAGGAATGACTGTTGCTTTAATAAATCCCTGAGGTAATTCTGCAGATACCTTTGTATTTATGAAGGAATAATAATTACAATTCCTTTTTGTGTTTATGGGAAAGTGGGGGTCATAGATTCCAGCAGAAGGAAGAAAGTTAAGGCAAAAAGGAGCCCACTGTAAATCTCAGAATAACTTAATCTAGGCTCTCATCTTCAGAAAGAACATTTTAATTTAGAATCCCAACATCAAAGATCATATGAAATCACCATTTCTTTGAAAATCCGCACTTAAGGACAAGAAGATACTGGTCAAAATCCTTAAACTAATTAGTACCAAACATTCCTCTGGGCTGAACTTTTCCCTAGGATCAAATTACAGAGCTTAGGCTAGAAATCTCTTAGTCTGATTTCAGTGTGGGCAAGGATGAGCTTCTAGTGACGAGGATCTTTATACTTTATCATGACTGTCCTAAATTGCTTTGAGTCTACTTTTATTCTTTTCTTCTTTTTTTTTTTCTTTTTTTTTTCTTACCATTAAGTAACATTCCTGACTAGTTACTTCTCTTAAGGTACAAACAAGAATTAAAAACAAAACAATAGCTTAGTGAGTTTTCCATTACTCAGCATGGAGCAATATATTGTCATTCTTCAGCATCAGTCATAAGTCTGCTTTTACCTCCATCCCTAAAAGAAAGAAACCTTGCAGAAATGGGTTCAATGTCAAGGATGAAGAGAACAATTGCGATTGTCCAGATCATTTCACACTTAGGATTAGCAATGTCACCACAAAATATATTCTCAGGTGAACAGGCTGAACATAATGAAAATAATGAAAATATATTCTCAGGTGAACAGAGAAGGAAAAGTAGAGGACTGGTAACTAAAAAGGTCAAAAGCAAAAAGCTAGGAAGGTGTCAGGGGATTTTCATTCATGGATTTATGAGCACCTCAGGAAGGTGGTACTGCCCCAGACTAAGAACTACTGAGTAAGGAAGAAACTATGTCCCCAGTGTGCTAATGAAGTCTGCATTCCCTGAAAACTTCACATTTAAACTGAGGGTTTGAATTAAAATTATTCACTGCTACATTAACTTCTTTGGGTCTCTAAGATAGCTTGATTTATAGAAGATAGCAGTTGTGGAAACTGTGCTTTTAAAACAGAAAATCTACTAGAAATTTTTACCTGTGCAATTGTGAGGAGAATTAAGGTTACTGGGTAGGTTTTATATTTTATTCACCTAAGTTTTTTAAAAGGCAGAAAAAAAAAATAAAAATAAAAATAAAAAAGAAGAAAAAAGAAAAGAAGACATATTGTAATGATTAAAAAATCAGGTTTGACTTGGATAAATAACTGTCAGGATTTGCAGAAGTGACACTACCACTGACCTTAACATCTTAACAACACAATTACAGTCAGAGAGCTCTATTCCCTTCTTCTGCTCATCCGATTTGAAAGCTACAGAAAAGCAATGTGGGAAACAAAACAAGCATTTTGGTTTGCGAACAAAATGGCGCTGACAGATAGAATTGTCAGAGGTAACTAGTTTACTGTATTGCATTTAGGCTAAAACATAGCTATGAAGAAACTGAAATTAAAAATTCTTCTCTCCTAATTATATTAATGACATATAATTTCCAGTTCATTTATCCACGTGTTTTGCAAGCTTTTACACAGAACAATAGTCTAAACATCAGAATTGTAAAGCAACTGCATTTCTGTAAGGGAAATACATACATTTTTTAAAAAGGACAGAAAATATTATGAAATGGTGACTGCAGTAAAAATATCCTGACACCTTTATGGTTTGGCATTTAAAATATAAATAATAGGATAATTTCACTGTGCCTTTGAATGAAATGACTGTGTGAGGTACATACAAACTCATTTGAGAATTTATTTATCAGAGTACTGATATTCAGAAGTACTTCTTGAAATTTAAAATATATTAACTAGTTTTGTACCCTAGTAACTCTATCCCATTTTTTCTTCACATTAATGTTTTTGCCTCCTCTGAATAGCTAGTGTAGAACTTGTCATGCTTCATGGCTAGGCCGGCTTTTTGGTGTATCTTTGCTATACATCTGCTGCATGATGAAGGTTTTGTGGAGATCTCAAATTAGAGACATCAAGTTCAGGAAGCTTGAAGTGATAAGGTTTTAAACGCATTTCAATGGTATATTCTATTATGTATATTCATCATTACTCTGCTCTCAGGGTGTTTGAACATTAAGCATATTTTGCACTTACACAGGCAACTTATTTGAGGCTCTCAGAACTGAATCAATGTCATCCCTATTTTGTACTGGAGACCGCAGAATGACAGGAATGTCTCATATATATTGTGGCAAACTGAAAAGACAAAGTTTAAATCTCTATCCTCTCTGCATAGGTAACAATAACTGCCATTACATAGAATCTCTGAGTGGCTGAGGCTGGCAGGGCCTCTGGAGCCCAACAGGCCCAAGCCCTGCCCAAGCAGGGCCACCTGGAGCAGGCTGCCCAGGGCCATGCCCAGGTGGCTTTTGAAGACTTCTGCCTCGCTGGGCAGCTTATTCCAGTGCTCTGTCATGTGCACAGTAAAGAACTGTTTCTTGATGTTCAGATGGAACCTCTTGTGTTTCATTTTGTGACCGTTGCCTCCTGTCCTGGCACTGGGCACTACTGAGAAGAGCCCAGCTCTGTCCTCTCTGCACCCTCCCTTTGAGTATTTATAAATATTGGTAAGAAAGCCCTGAGCCTCCTCTTCTTCAGGTTGAAAACACAGCTCTTCCTTGTGCTTTGTCAGCTCCTCAGAATTAAATCAGAAATCACGCTTGCCATTCTTTTTATTACAGTCATCCATATGATGCATGTGGTCACCAGTGACTAGAAATTTCACACTGGGGAAGCCATAACACTTACCACCATTGGGTAAGATTGGATATTAATAATACCTGGACACTCTGGAAGCCACAGCTTAGTAGTTATTCATTTTATAGAGTAGACTGTACCTGAAGGGAAAACCAGGACTTCAGTCCTCTTCGTCCTACCTGCACTGCAAATGCTGTTTTTCTGGAGTACCACTCTGAACACCACTTGGGAGAAAACTGATTTTAAAAGTGCAGAAGAAGATTAGGGAAATTTAGCTGGCAACCCAAAACTGAATCCCTGAACAAGGGGCACCATCTACAGGGGAACAGACTGACACTGACTCAGATCTGTCCTTGCATTACATGGATGACATCTGCACAAAACACATGCAAGTTGGTTTGACTACCCTTGAATACTCCTTCATAAAAGAGTATTTCCATCTTCATTTATACTACTGCAGTGTCCAGAAGCCCAGGGCAGAAAGCAGGAGCTCTCTGTTTTAGCTGCTACATAAGTGCAGATCAAAAAAGACCATCTCTGCCTAAACAACTTAGAAGCAGCAGATGTGTGCAGATCAAACACAAGAAAACAATGAAATCAAAATGACACATTGAGACAAATAGTCAGTGGACTAACAAGTTATTTGATTTTACCCTTTGAATTTTAGCTATGATAAGAAAACAACAACACTTTTATCTACTCCCTCTATCCAACTCACAGTCTCACACATTGCTCCAAAAATCACCTTCATAATATATTTTATATGACACACTTGCTTTTGTTAGTAGTGTACAGCCATGAATTTACTCTAGTATTTACTTGTTTTACAGAAGGTTAATTCTCACATTTGGGACTTAGCTTTCTCACTTTGTTTTCATGTTTCATGTTCTCCTAATGCAGACTTGGCTTCCTGACTAAGAATGTGAATTCTAAATACATCATCATCACCTAGTATGTACCGTGGAAACTTCACTGAACTCAGTGGGATGACAGTGCCCTAACGTGGGATTCCAAGTTTTTAATTTTCAGCTGTATGTGCCAGCCCTTGGATTCACAGTCAACTGGGAATAAAAACAATAAAGACTGGGTGTTTCATTTGCTAAGATGAGAAGTTTAAGACATCTGTGCTTGAACTCATGCAATCAGAGAACTTCTGTTTAAATGCTGGCCCACTCCCCTAAACAAAAGCTAATTCCTTTGTCTTCAGACATACAAACTAGTCTTAAAATGAAAAACTTTAGAAAATGCCAAACCGAAAGAAAAATTGGAATAAAATAGCATGACAATGAAGAAAAAAAGTAAAAGCATCTTTCAGTTAAAAATAGGTACCTGTGATCTTGAGCAACACAAGGCTGGTGAATAATTTCGTCATGATGACACAATTCAATCAGTGTTAGTTTACAGTTCTAAATTCTGCCTGATAAGTAAATTAACATGCTATCGATATCACTGACTCATTCATCTTCTGCTGATTTGCCCTCGTGAGTTGCCTGACTCCCCACCTTGTACATCTAATTGTGGCAGTGGTGATACTTGGTCACACAATGGCTGATGTACAAAAGACAACCAATGGCAGCTTGGGCCCAAAGCCAGAGCCCTGATTGCTCTTTTTGATATGCTACAACTTCTGTTGCTCCTTAATTTGCCTCACTTCAGCGACTGTCATTCTAGTACCTGCTCTTTATATGCCATAAAAATTGCCAGGACAGGCCTGAGAATACTTCAGTTTCATTGTCTCTGGCCCAGGCTTCTTCCCTGTTTATGGAGCAAATGGGAGTCTTTTACTTTCAAAACTTAGCTTTTATGGCTCATATTGCTTTCTAATCTTGAGGTTTTATTTTGAAGCCATAGTATATAGAGAATGAAAAATAAAAATGGCAAAGGCAAACACTGCTCCATTTCTGCTCTTGCTGTTTTATTCAGATTCTTCCCAGATGCTCATGTACCTCTGGCTCAGTTGAAGTCTAAATTAAAAACAAGGAATATGAAGGATGGATCAGTGTCAGGTTCTTAATTTGTACTTATCGGGGTTCTTGATGAATCTTTTAAATTGTAGACACTACTTAATGTTCTCTTTTGATGCACATTAAAAAAAAAAAATATAGGACTCAGTTTTAGAACATCATTTCTTCTCTCACTGCATATTTCTTCCATTTTCTCATGACAGGACACCTTCTTCTTCCCTGAATAAAACTGTGAAAGACATAACAATAATAAATACAATGAGCTGTGTTTTGTGAGTTAGTATCTAGCACTTGGCTACCACTCCCAGTGCTCATCAAACATTTCTAAGCTCTTCTAGAATGTCCTTGCCCATTCAGGATACGTACATCATCCCTCAAGTTCCACAGCATCCTTGGGTTAAATTAAAGACCACAACTCAACAGCAACTGTCTATTTCCTTGAAGATGCAGTAGTGAAATAAAACTGGCTTGCAGGACTGGAGACCTCTTTCTGCATGAAGAAGCTTTGGGGCCTGAAAGGAACCAAAGCAAGTGTGTGTGCTAGAAGGAATGAAACTTTTGCAGCAATTTCTCCAGTGCAAATTATCAAGCTCGGAAAAGATTAGGTGCAATATTTCCCACAACCTGCCAGCCCCTACCAAATTTGTCCTTAAAAAAATATATATGTATATAAGTGCGTGTGCAGATTAATTGTGTATGCTCTGTGACAGGCAGAGAGCAAGAAAGGGATGGTATACACTCTTCAGGGCTACTGCTACATAGCATTTCTTTTCCTTACTGTCTGTGAACTATGAAAAAGTCATCGGGCTTAAACGATGGTTTTTTGTCTTTGCTCAAATACAAAGACAGGATATGAAGTGTCATGCCTTGCAAACACCAGACTCCCTCAGACGTCTGGCTGTGTGGCTGTTAGGAGCACAGTATCAAGTCCATACAGTTATTAGCATTGACATTTTTTATTTTTTTATTTATTTTTTAACTGAACAGATAAATGATCCCAGAGAAAACAGTCCTTGAGATCTGCAGTACTGGGAGAGAGAAGGAGTCGTATTTTTTAAATTGTACAGGGTGATCTGGGCACAGGTGACTGTATGTCTGTATGCACAGGTTAAATTATGTTGGCTTCTCCTTTAGGTAGCTCAGCAGGAGCAGTTACTCGCTTTCCTTTCCTGTCTTCTCTCTCACGACCAAATGTGCCCGTACAAGAGTCGTAACATGACTAACAGACCTAAGAGCACGTCCAACTCTGATGGTATCAGAAAATGTGTATGTGAACTGAGCTGGTAAAGGGCTGCAATTTTCAGAGGCAAATGCCACCACAAAAGTATGGCTGGGGAACAGCAGCATGATGAGTTTGGGGAAGGCACAGTTAAATCACTCACTTCTGAGACATGCCTGGGAGCTTCTTGCCTTTCTCAGGTACCTGCTAATGATGGCATGCAAAAGGGGCTCCCCTGTTTGCCAGGATTTCCTGTTCATCAGATTAAACTATAACTTAGATGACTGTCACTCTTGTGTGTGCTAGGGGAAGCCAACTATGTGGCTGTCAGACACATCACCTCTTGCTCAAGTTTTCTGAAAATAAATGTAATTCAGCACCATACTGCACCACTGTGTATCGAGTCTGGGCTAGAACCTGCATCTTGGGTACCCATCATTAAAGGTTATGGGAAAGTCTTACCTAAAAATCACCCTATTATTTTTACAGTCTTCCAACTGAGATGAGGATTTCCTCCCGTGACACTGAGGTACAGATGCAGCAATAACAGATGCTGAAGAACAAAGAACTTTAGCCCTCCGTGCTTCTAAAAGCCAAACTTACATCTAAATCTATTCCCATTTCCCTCTGGAGCCCGGACAGCTCTTTATGTTGCATTAAACACCAGATAAATAGGACAGATCTAATTAAAAGTAGAAGGAGTGCGCTTCCCTTAATTGAACGTGTCACGGTTACGTTTCGCAGCCCGGCGTTAATCAAAGCTGCGGCTCGGCGGGGACGCCCCCCGGGAATCGAGTTACCCGCTGCGGGCCCTTACCTGGGGGCGATGCGGGCTGCTCCGGGGCGAGCCCAGCACCGCTGGGTCGCCACCGCCACCGCCTCCGCTTCCCGCAGCGGTGCGCGGGGCCGCGCGGGGCCGCGCACGGACCGGGGCGCGCGCGGCCGCGCGGGGATGCCCTCGGCGCCCGGCCCCGCCCGACGGGGCGGCCGGGGACCGGGCGGCCGCGGGATGGGCGAGGCCGGCGCGGCGGCTCCACCCATGCTGGGCGCCGCGCGGTTGGCCGGCGGCTCGGTTCTCCCCGCCCCCCAGCCAATGAGGGCGGTGGGCCGGGGGTGATGGGCTGCCTCTCGCGGGAGGGATTCCTGGAGACGCTGCAGTGTGGCGGCGCTCCCGGCGCCGCGCAGCCCCCGGGCCGCCTCCGCCTCGCCTCGCCCTGCCCGCCGGCGCCCACCGCCGCCCGAACTTAACGCCCGGCGCGCCGCCTGCCCGCCGGGGGCATAGGGACGGGGAGGGGAAGGGAAGAAGGGAAGGGAGAAGGGGGGTGTACAGCCTGCCTTGCGCGGGGGCGCACCGCTCCGCGCCGCTCCGCGCACCGGGAGGGGCCGGGGCTGAGCGCGGCCCCGCCGCGGGGGGAGCGCTGAAGGACGCGCCGGCAGCGCCCGCCCCGGTTGCCAGGTAAGGCAGCGCCCCGGGGCTGCCCGCCGCCGGGGGGGGTAGGGGGGGAGTGCGAATGGGAGGGGGGGCGCACGCTGCGGGGGGGCGGGGAGCGGCTGGCACAGCGGGGGCGCCCCCCTCGCCCCCCTCTCCCACCCTCCTCCGTCTCCATCCTCTCGTCCTCCTCCCGCTCCGGCAGCGGGCGCGGCGCCCGCCGCCCTCCCGGCGCTGCCCGGGTCCGGAGGCGGCGGGGAGGCGGCCCCGGGGCGGCTTGGGGCTCCCCCGGCCGTGCCCTGCCCGCGGCCGGGCGCTCTGCCGCTGTCCGGCAGCGGCGGGGCGCGGCCGGGAGGGGCGGCGGGGGCACGGCGGGTGCCAGCGCCCGGCCCCACCTTCCCCCCCCTCCCTCTCGTAGGGGCAGCCTCTAATCACTGGCGTTACAATTAAAAAATAATAATAATAATAAAAAAAAAAACCAACCACACACAATCCTCTCATACTTAGCGATGAAGCCCATTCGTTTTCTTTCCATGCGATTTCATCTGGGGTTCCTCGGACGTTGTTGCCCTCCCCTTCGGTGTGCTGCCTGCCTTGCTGTGGTTTCTGGGGTATTGTGCCCTGCTTTGTATGCTCGCCCGCTCTGGGTACGGCATCAGCGCTCCGTTTAAAAGTTAATTTGGCTTATCAAACTCTTCGAGGTGGAGTAGTGAGGAAGTGGTGAAGAATGTTAATGTTTCTTTTGTTTCAAGGCTTCTGAAATAAAGATATCAAATGCCTATCGGTTTCTAGTAGTCCGCCTAGTAAGTAAATTAAATGTAGTCATTGGAATGAGCCTTTATGGCACTTTCAACAATCTGTAATTCAATCATCTCTGATACAAGCTGCCTTTTGCTATTATTCATCAGACCCAGCTGAGTGATTTCTGTCAGATGGGAAGTGGTAGAGAGAAATCTCTAGGTAAATGTAACTGAAAAGCTTTGCAAGTGGAGTCCTAAATGAGCACAGAAAAGCACTTGGCCACAATCTGGAGACAGATGTTAGCATCCAAATAAATCATTTCTTCTGATTGTCAGGGGGATGTCAAGTCTCATTTTCCTTATTTAGTAGCCATTTGCAAGTGAAGAACAGGGAGCTCCGTGTTTATGACCTTGTAAACTCAATGCAGAATGCTGTAATTCAATAGTATTTCACTCTGAAATACTATTTTCCGTACAAAGGTCAGTACAGTAATTCTAGATGCATGTACGTGTTGTAGACCACAGCAAGGCTACTGGATCAGCAACGGCAGTATTGATCCTTTGAGCGCTATGTAATGTGCCATCCGTGTTCGGCGTTAATCTATTGCGTGCTGTTTGAACTGCTTTGTTGTCTGAGAGAGTTCTTTCGTCCTGAGAAACAGCAGACAATAGTTGGAGATGCAAGAGGAGACTCCTTTCCCTGGCGGGTAGGTATCTAGAGTTAGAGAAGCAGTTGTTGTAGAAATGACCCTGAAAAGGGGGGAGCTTTTGGGTACAAGGACAAGTGGGCAGGAAACTTAATTTGCTTTGAGTGTATGAATTGACATCTCCTGCCATGCTTAAATAAACCTGCTCAGAGAAAGTGTAAGGGAATTCCGTGTGTGCCTAGAATAGTATTTTCTTGTCACTTGTTTGTTTCTTGGAAACAAATGACCTGATTTTATGTCTTCAGAGACAAATACGTGTGTGTGTGTGTGTGTGCATGTGTGTATATATATGTATTTTTTTCTTCTTACAAGCTTTTTGGGGATTGTACTTCCATTAGTAGTGTCCGACGGGAATATACTTTAATATGGTCTATTACTTGGCTTCTGGTATAGTTGCTCAAAATTTGCATGCATGCAATTCATAAATTGAAAACTACATAGCTTAAAAACATAGTGTAGGCAGCTTGAGTGAGAAGAGATAATTTAAAAAAGAACCACAGGGCAGAAGATAATGACATACTGTAGGAAATAATCATACTCCTGCACTTGCAAAAGCATGAAATGTTCCAGTGTAGCCATTTCATACAAGACCAATTTTCCTTCACATTAAGAGTGCCTAAGTGAGCCTTATTAATGTTTGATGCAAAAGATGCTAAATCCATTTTAAGGATTGATACTGGAATTTAAAGAGGTAGCTCACAGACTAACAGTGCAGTTCTAACACTTCCACAGAACAAATGTGGAAAATAATCACTCCCCGTGTATGTCATAGCCGTGCAAATGGGATACAGCATTCCTTGTGACAATGACACACTAGAAGACGTTTCAGAACTACAGATTTAAAACAGTATTTGGTTTAACAATCTGAAACTTTCCCTTACCTCAATCATAACTTGAATCAGATATAAGAACCCAGAAAATGTTCAGCTTTGGTTAGCATAGTAGCTTAGAAGGTGTAAGATAAAGAAAGGTTCTGTTTGTCAGAAACCTAGGGGGGGAGGAAAAAAAAAATCTATACTTTTCCAGCTGGCGTTGAGAGACCGGAAACATAAAATCAATTTTTATGGTCTTTTGGCAGGGTTTGCTGTTATACGTAAAAAAGAAGTAGTAGCAGCTAAGGGTCTTGACAGAAGTTTTTAAGCCACTCAGCCATACAGAACTCTGCTAATTGATGCTTCCTCACACGAAAACAAAGCTCTCGTTTAGCATATTGTAGGCTTTTCTTGTCCATTCTGCAATCTGATCACAATCTTAAAAATATTTCTATGTAAACGTGTGGTCTTATATTTATCTAGGAGTTTAAATGCATATACGATTTCTTACTGGGAAGTTCCTAATTAAGAGGAAGTTCCAAATTAAGAGTGTGTGCAACCTTGTATTGCCTGTTGTGGAAGAGACATTGAAGTTTGCAATACAATTGGAAAGAAAAAGAAAATTTCTCTGCGTGATCCAGAATAGAAGCATGGAGGAGTTATTACGCATGGATACAAGGATCTCCTTCCCTCTGCTGGTGATGCCCATAAAAACGTTCAGTTTCGCAAAGAAATACTTGGTCATTTGATTTACTTTGATTCTCTACAGAATGCTTGTTTTAAACACTACTCTGTATCTAGGAAGAAGCTTAATTAGAAATACACATAAGGGAAGCTTGTTAGCCAACTATGAATTTGTGTTTACCACTGACATTTACTAAAGATACTTGAGGTTAAAATAAAAGCATTTGCCAGACTGAATAAACAAAGCATTATGTTAACAAATATTTTCAGGATCTTTATGTACAAATGTTGTCTTTGCTAGAGGAGCTTTACTCCTTCCTAATACACTCTTAAGAGGGGGGATTAGGAAATGCTGGTTACACTGCTGTATCTTTTGCAAAAATACCAGATACCAAAGCAGTTGGATTAGAAGCAGGACAACTGGCAACAGCTCTTTGTGATTTCTGTTGGTGAGAGGGTAAGAGCAGGCTACGGGCAATCTCTGTCAGGAAGTACAGGAACAAGCAGAATGGCTTGTACAAGCAATGCATGGAAAAAGTTGTCTGGCTTAAATACGTAAGCAAAAAAATTTTTTTTGAGACATAATGCAAAAGCAAGAGATTAGCTGTAATAAAATAACTCCCTCAGCACTTTTATTATCATTACTAGTCTGAAGGCATTTTTCTGGAATTGCAGGCACTGAACACTTTGTCTCCATTGTAGAAGGAGTGATGCTGCCATCTTTTAGATTCTGAGAGATTTGCCAATTCAAGATGTCACTTTCTTTTTTAGTCATCCCTAAAGATGCTGGGAAGGATATGTCAGAACACAAAGTAAATCCAGAATACTTCCTGTTTAGCATAATTATCTGATAAGCTACTAATACCATTATTTAAAAATGGAAGACCATAGAAATACAAAGAAGTGTTATCAGAAATTTACCGAAATTTACCGAACTGGTTGGATTTCATTAACTCTGGATAATTATGCTAATATAATAATCAAGCACAGTAAAACTTTATTTAGAAGTAGCCAAAACCAATGTGTTTATTTAATTATGCTGTCTATACTTATCAGCTATTATTCAGGATTTACAGTAGTACCCTAATGTAATTATTTTGATAATGTAGCCAAGGTTATGGTGACTAGGTAGTACAGTGCCTCAGATACATGAGAATACATGCCTCAAAGCTGCTCAGTGATTTAATGAAGCTGATTATAAATCTATTTGTGAGTTCTGCTTCATACCCTTTATCTGAATGGTATTGGCTTCTTACGTGTAGCTGAAAATCAATGTAGCAGTTGCAATATGGGAAAGCTGGTAAATGTCACCCAAGCTTTGAGACAAGATTGCTAGCAAGCTGCCTCATCTTCTTGTATTTGAATAGCCTTGTGGCAATTAATAATTGGAGTGCTTTTATGGAAGGCATTGTGGAAATAAAGACCCATGTAAAAAGGTTTACCTGGTTCAGGATGCTCACTAACAGTGATAAAATTTCTAGATATACACATGCACATACGCAATTGACAGGTGGATGTTAAACCTAGTTCTTCTTGTTCTAAAAACTTAATAACTGCTTGCTACATGCAATTTTTATTTATATTTTTATTTTTATTCCCTTCTAGAGCTATGGAGAGTATTTCTTTACAATTAATCTATTTC